AATTTCGTCCAAATTTGAATTTAAAATGTCTGTAAAAAATAACTGTGTTTATGTATTTTGTAGATTTTTTGGTTACAGTATGAACTATTTATGAGAATCTTTGTTTTAAATTTTCAATCCTTAGTTATAAAAACTGAACATTTTATAATTTTTAATTACAGTGATTAATAATTTTCGAGATTTTGATAAATTTTGTCAAAATTCGAATTTTAAATGCTTATTAAAAAAAATTGTGCCTATGTATTTTAAATATTTTACAATTGCTATTGTAAAAATATATCAGGAGCCTTGTATTAAATTTTCAAGCTTTTTCGCCCAATAAATAAAATTTTATTGGTATTTATAGAAAAAAAAACTAAGAAAATTGAAAATTGACAATGTCCGTAAACATCTCAAAAAGAGTCAAATTATTTTCAAAATTTTATCGTGTTTAGAAAATGCTAATATCAACATTCAGTGAAATTTTCAAGTGTCTACAGCCATTCGTTTTTTAATTACAACAAAAACAGAAAATCGTTACATGAGAAATCGAGTGAATATCAAATGTTGTAAAAATATGAATTTCAAACGCTCATAAAAATTTAATTTGACTTTCTAGTAGACATTTTTTTTTTTACAAAGGTAGACAAACTTATGAGGAATCTTGTATTACATTTTCAAACCTTAGATTTCAAAAGAAAAATTTTTACGAATTTTAAACTCAAAATAATTTGCTAATTTTCGTGATTTTTCCGTATTTTGTCAAGATTTGAACTTTAAATGCTTATAAATAAAAACTGTGACTAACGATTTTTAATTTTTTTCATATGCCTTTGAAACAATATACTAGGAGCCTTCTATTAAATTTTCAAGCTTTTTTAACCAACAAATAAAATTTTATTGATATTTATAGAAAAAAAAACTAAAAAAATTGAAAACTGACAATGTCCGTAAACCGTTCAAAAAAAGTCAAATTATTTTCAAAATTTTATCGTGTATAGAAAATGCAAATATAAACAACCAGTGAAAATTTCATGCATCTATGGTCATTTGCTTTAGAGTTACACCAAAAACCAAAATCAATTTTGACAAAAATCGATTTTGCGTAAAAATTCCCGTTTTTCCTTAATTTTTCTTTTGTTTTTCACGTCGCTTTTGAAAACTACTGGGAAATGTTTACTTTTGACCCCCCAAAGTACCAACTAGATTCACTTTCCTATCAGAAAAGTTGCTGTTGAAGAAAATCGAAGCAGTTTTACTGCCCTAAAAGGTGATGACAGACACAAAAATAAAAAAAAAAATAAAAAAAAAAACACACATCATTGTAAAATCAATACATTCATCGCTTCGCTCAGAATCTAAAATTAAAATATGAAATTGCCCGTAAACAACTCAAAAAAGTCAAATTATTTTCAAAATTGTATGGGGTATCGATCAAAATTTCATGTATCTACGGTAATTCCTTTTATATGTACACCAAAAATAAAAATCGATTTAGTCGAAAATCGGGTTTGCGTAAAAAATCTCGTTTTTTCTTTAATTTTTCATTTGTTTTTCGTGGCGCTTTTCAAAACTACTGGAAAATTTTTACTTTTGACCCCAAAGTACCAACTAGATTAACTTTCCTATCAGAAAAGCTACTATTAAAGACTTTTTTGTCCTAAAAGGTAATGACAGACACAAAAAAAAAAATAAAAAAACACATATCATATCAATACATTCATTGCTACGCTCAAAATCTAAAATTAAGTTAAAATAACATTCTCACCGCTCCTGAAAATGCATTAAACTTCGTTTTATAACTTCGCTTGGACCATTGGCCATCTGCGATTACTGTGCACATAGGAATTCCGTCTTCATCTATATTACCACTTTTTATGGCCAGTTGCCGTTCCTCATTTCCAGCTTTCAACATTTCATCAATGGCCGTATCTTTAATAGCATCACTAACAATTGATAAATGTTTCAAGTACGCAGTGGATGATAAAAATGGAAGCTCAGCTGATGAAGAAAGTTCGCTCAATTGTGTATAACCAATTCCTAGTGTTGAACATTTCATAATCATCAATTTTTATTATAATTATTCTAAGCTCAACTTATGGACAACCTAGTATTAAATTTTCAATTCTTATTTTTTAATAAAAAATTGTTTATACATTTTTAACTACAGAATAATTAGCAAATATTCATGATTTTGACGATTTAAATTTCAAATGCCTATAAATAGCTCAAAAAAAGTCAAAATATTTTTAAAATCAAATCACGTAAAGAAAATGGCAATCTAAATAACTAGTAAGATTTTAAAGTATTTACGACATATAACAACAAATATCAAAAATCGTTTAAGGTTAAACCGTTATTTAACGCGGTTTTGTAAAAATTTAAATTTCAAACACTCCTAAAAATTTTTTGTCTTCGTCCGGTAGAGTTTTTTTTACAGATATTTGAAGAAAAATGTATGGAGAACCTTGTACCAAATTTTCAAAACTTAGTTATGAAAGCAAACATTTTTACGATTTTTCATCCACAAAATTACTTGCAAATTTTCGCAATTTTGACATATTTCGTATAAATTCGAACTTTAAGCACTTATTAAAAAAAAATTGTGACCAACGATTTTGGATTTTTTTTTTATTACTTTAAGAAGAACTTATAAGAAACCTTGTATTAAATTTTAAAGATTTTCTGGCCGTCCAAAAAAGTTGTATCGTTATTTTTAAAAAAAATACTAAAAAAAATTAAAAATTTCAATTGTCTATAAATAGCTCAAAAAAAGTCAAAATACTTTGAAAATTTAACAGTGTATAGAAAACACTAACATAAACATTTGGTGAAAATTTCAAGTATTTACAGTGATTAGTTTTTGAATTACAACAATATAAAAAAATTAATTTGGTCGAAAACTGGTTTTGCGTAAAAAATCCCGTTTTTCTGTCACTTTTTTTTTGTTTTTCTCGATTTTTTTGAAAACTGTTGGAAAATGTTTATTTTTCACCTCTATAATGCACCAAGGTTATTCACTTTGCCATCGGAAACCACCCCTGAAGTTTGAAATTGAAGCATTATTTCGATTAGTTATGCTGTACAGACAAAAAAAAAAAAAAAAAACACATCGTAAAATCAATAGGTACATTCATCACATTCACTTCGTTCAGAATCTAATAAAACCGATTCTATATCATATAATACCTACACATATATTTATATTATATGCAGGTAAGTTATTCATCTATATATTAAGTTATTTATTTATTTAAATATATCTCACTATAATTTGATTAAAATTAATATTTAAAATATTAAATTAAAATAATATAAAATAATATTATATTCTAAATATTTTGTTCTTACCAATAGCTATACTGCCGTTTACTAATGCTTGATTTATTGGCAAATAAGTTTTGTTAGAGTTTATACTTTCTGATTTCTGATCAATTTCTGATGATATATTTAATTTTGTACCACACATTTTACAATTATATTTAAATATTGAACTGTATCCTCTTCTAATTTCACTTATGAATTCCATATCTAAAAAAGAACAACCGAAACGATCGTGCCTACTATTTTGAATTTGTTTAAATAAATGTTGTATGTCAACAATTCTTCGGCCTTCAAGAGATCTATAATATATTTATAAACAATTGTATAATAATATAACGATTACATCATTATTATTCATTTTCATCAAAATAACAATTACTTTGATTCAACAACTGTATCGTCTGAAATGTATTCTTCAGTGTATAAACTATGGTTTGAAATACTTGATGAATTACATTCATTAAAACCAAAATCATTTTTTTGTTCTGGGTTAATATTAGGAGTGGAGGTACATGTTATTGATGGAGAAAAATCCCTAAATAATTCATAAACCATAAGTGTTCAATCAAATTATTTTTCAAATTATTTAAACAAAAAAAGCATAAAAATTTACTCAGTAATATTTGTATCATCAATAATTGCATTACGTTGAGGTAATAAACTATTTTCCGCACTAGTTGATGTTAGCTTTCTAAATAATTGTATATTACCCACATAACACAGGTACAACCATTGGATGTATAATATATATGATTTATAGATATCCATAATATCCTTTAGATATGACTGTATATCTATAAGACATCTACTAGATATCCAATTGGCCGCTTTTTTATTAGTTTATATGGACATCCATTAGAAATCAGAAATGATTGAATTAAACATCTACTAGATATAAAATAATATCCATTAGATATAAAAAATTAACCAATAGATATAATATATATGATTATCCATTAGATATAGGTAATAAGATATAAATATTCATTAGATAGCTATATATAGTTCACCACCGTTTATCCAATAATTGCAATATGTTATGGATATCCATAAGATATTCATTGAAATTAATATTATTTAAAATGAAATACAAATTGGAAAAAAATATTTAATAAACCAAATCTTTATTTAATATCAATAAAATTATAATAAAAAATATAAATACAGGTATATAATTATTTATTTAATAGTCTTAACAATTAACAAATAATAAAAATAATATTTCCTGTATAATAAAAACATATTCATAACTTAATACCACTTATTGACACTTATTATGTATACAAAAACAAATTAATAAAATGAGAATATTGCACATGGACTAATGTGAATATATTATAATGTTAACAGTAAAAAATATTCAGTCTATAAAATATTAATATAGGTATATAATCAGATTCATTTCATAATCTTATAATAACAGTTAAAAAAATATAATAATAATATTTCCTATATAATAAAAACAAATTCATAAAAGAATACCACTTATTGGCACTTATGTATACAAAAACAAATTAATAAAATAAGAATATTGCACATGGACTAATGTGAATATATTATGTTAACAGTAAAAAATATTATTAGAGGGATATAATCAGACTCATTTCATAATCTTATAATAACAATTAAATAAAATAATACTAATATTTCCTGTTATAAAAAATAATAATGTAATTATATTGCACACAGACTTATGTGAAAACAAACAAGATAATATAAATATATACAATACAAAATATACGATGTAAAAGTAATCATTCACTCATGGCAATGGAATTTGTTCAGTAGAATCTGCAGCACATCTTTTCTCACTAATTTTAATGGAATAATTAATTTATTATTTTACATTTAACAAATAAATAAATAGTTATGTATTTATAATTTTTACCAATTTTCATTTCTAGTTTTGGCATGCCTCAACCAATTTTTTATGCTTCCAATTATTTCAGTCTCCGTGGTTGTTTTGACAATTTTGAATACTGAATCTAGAATCAAAGTAAACAATAAATAATTTTACCATTTTTTAAAAATATTAGGTATTATTATTTATATAATTTATAATGAATATAATTTCATTGTTTAAGTTATTATATTACCAATTATAACTCTTGATAAAGCCAAACTAGACATCACTCTCTTGCCTTTCCCACCACACCAACTATAATTCATAGCAAGTTTGTCTGTGAAAAGTTTGCGAAGAATAAATTTTGTTGCTTCGTCGGTTTTTGTACCACCCAATCTAGTCAGAGCTGCAGTCTAAAAACAAAATAAAATTATTGAGTAATGTTTATGATTTACGAATTTTAAAGGACCCTAATAAATCGATTTTAAACAACTAAATTTCAATGAACAAAAAACACAACATTTGTTCTGTTGAACTCAAGTTAGCTATGTTGCGTGTGGGTCAGACAGACAACTAACAGTGCGCTAAATCATCTTAAGAAGTAATTATCATTTAGTTTGTTTTCCCATTTAACCAATATATTAAAAATTTTATATTCATATGTACCAAGTTTAATTTGTAGGTTATATCAATTAATGATAATTCAACTTTCTTCAATGCTTCCTCGGTATTCATTGGGAATTCTCCAATGACATCATTTAGACTAATATCCTCAACAGAACTGGTTAAGACAACAGAATTTGAAAATGACAAATTTTTGACACGGTCATCTAGTTTTTTGACATTTACTTTTATGACAGCAAGGTGTCTTAAAACCAAATTTTTGAAATCTAGAACACCATTTATAAATTAAGGTTTTTAAAACTTAATAAATTACTCATCTAAAATTATGAATATTTATCAAATATTAAATATTAAGCAATTCTTAATATAGATTTTTGGATTTATTGTATTTAATTAAACTTTAGTACATTAAGTATAAACAAATTTTTTAGAACTTACCAGCATCACTTAAACTGCCAGCTTTTTTTATCCGCTTTATATTCTCCATTTTTGTAGTTTTACATGTTGAGTACTCAAGTGCCCTCTTTAATTTGACTGTAGGAGTATTATAATTTACTGCTATACAATAACATAATTACAATATTAGATATAGTTAACTAGTATTTTTATAGTATATTTTTGGTATACTGTTAAATTAAACTTTATACTATTTTTACCATCACTTCCAGGCTCATGTTCATTGTTGACATTGTTAAAAATATTGTTTGAATTTTCTAGCTTTTTATCTCTTATATCTAGTTCATATGAACTTAGAGATCGATCGCTAGACATTGATTCTTCCTCAGATAAATCAAACAATGACGTGCATGCTTTTGGTTTAGAAGATGGAGTTGTAGCCTGATGGATAGAATTATGGAACATAGGTGTGGATGGTTTACTTAAATTATCATTTGATGCTGTAGGTGGTTCAGGCAGAGGTCTTATGTTGATTTTGGTTGAATTTGAGAAATGAAGTTCCTCACTTGAACTCGATGAATAATTTTTTTTTCTTCGGGTTTTGCGACTTTTTTTTTCTTTTTCAATATCAGTTGTTAAATCTGTGTGATCTTCAGCCTTTTTTAATTTTTTTAAACCTTTTTCAAAATTATCTGCAAGTTATAAATTTTAATGTTCTCATTAATAATAATACAGTTTATTTTAATAATAATAAAAATGTATTCTTAAAACAAAACTATTTACCATACTTTCCAAGAACTCTTGATACATTGTAGATAGACCAATTAATAGAAGGTAAAACACATTTTTTTACTTCTTTGAGGAAGTTTTTATTCGATTTAAATAGTCCATTTGGAGGCCAGTGACAAGTTTTTTGATCAGAAGATACCCAGCAATTTGGTACTATTTGTATGGTATTGTCATCAAATTCTACAATATTCCACATATTTTGTATAACAAAAACTTTTAATGGACCTAAATTAATTAAATAACCCACATTAATTAATAAGATATCACACTGTAAAAAATAAAATACACATTTATAATAATATATACAAAATATACATATGCTAGTAAGAATAATAAATTAAAAACAGTGATATTTTCATTGCAAAGAGGTACAATCACTATGCAATAGTGGAAATATAGCCAACATGTTTTCACAACCATCATGATTCCATGGTAGTGCTAGACATTTATACTTTATGCTTCTAATAGGCCAAATCTCTATATTCAATGATACATTTTTTACTAAGTAGCAATCAATTGTTGACGATTTACATGGTGTTTGGTAAATATCATAGTAGTCTATGAACTGTTTACCAAGAATAACCATACATTTCATAGTTTTGTCATACACAATATTACAAATAGTTACAACAATATTACTTTCTTTAATCATGCAATAATTATCTGGATTAGTAATTGTAATTATAGAATTATTTATTTTTGCTTTTTTAAATTGTTGATCAGTGTCAGTTGTGCTTAAAACAATACCATTAATGTGTTTTTTATAAAACATAGTACTTTTAACAGAAACACATAAAATATTTGAGGATTCTTCACTGTATCTTCGATGGAGCTGTTGTAATGGATGAGCAGATTTCCTCAATTGTCTTTTAATTAGCCTAAGATAATTTTCAAATTCAAATGCACTAAAATTGTCTAAAGGACCCAAGAGTTTTGCATCTTCTACCAAATGTAGTAGTCCATGGACGTTATGGGACACATAATGTTTTCCATATAAAATAATAAAAGTTTCAACAAAATGTTCTAATAATAATTTCGCATAGTCAGAATGTAAATCTAGTAGTTTTTGAGAACACAAAATTCGCATAGATACGTGTAATGTTAAAACATGTTCATATACACGAGGATGTACAGTTCCAAACAAAGCTACAGGACAGGTATATAACAACATTTGCCGAAGTTCTGTAGCTTTCCATTTTCCCAGGTTAACAATATCTTGAGGACGTCGAGCAAAATCATTTGTGATGTAACTTCTCATATTTCTTAAACTATTGTTTAAGGCAACAATTTTACAATGCTGTAAACGTACTATTTGGCATTCTGGTTTTCCATTTAACCACATGTTCATAACTTTTTTAAATACACCAATACAAACTAAGTGCATGTAGTCAAATGGAATTTGTGAGACTGGTTTAAAGTTGGGAATACTTAAAAGAATAGATATACCTTGATGATAATCGTCATATTCTTGTTTTGAGAATCCATCATCAGTTTTTAAAATATTATTTTTAACTTCAGGGAAACATATACGGTTGTATAAAGACTCTCCTTCTTGACAACATTTAGAACAACTATTATATCCAGTATGTCCTTTTGTTTTGGTAATAAATGACTTCGCAGGTGCGTCACATATAATACAATGTATATTCACTTTGTAATAAATATTGTTAAAATAAATACCATTATTAGTTAAATCAGTCATTTCGTCTACAAAGTGTTGTAAAAATGTATTAGCATCATTTGGTTTACTAAGACCATGGTAGATTCCAATTACAAATACATGCGATGTTTGAATAATACAACCCAGTATAGGCCATAATTGACTAGTACTACTTTCTGATAAGGGCAATCCATCTGTTGATATTTTAAGGCTAATCTTAAAGTTTAAACTGTTGAGTAAGTCATCATTTTGTAATCGATTCAACACTTTTTTGAGTCCAATTTTCAAACCAAAATGACAATATTGACCTGGACTTACATTCTGTATTAAGGTATTTCTTGGAGTCTTTAAAAGTGTCCTAGAAACTTTTGGAAGATTTTTACCAATTGTTTCCTTTCGTAGAATGCCTAAAAGAGCATCCAAAGCATTTTGTTTAATTTTATATTCAACAGCCCAATGCTTCAGTTTTTCTACAAAGTTATTTGAAGTATTAATATTTATGTTGGCAATTTCATTTAAGAGATTACAATCATACCGAAATTTTCTGTTGAACTACTTTGATTTGATTGATTTAAATCATGTGTATTGAAATCATTTAAATTACTAATAGATTCATTCAAATATAAATTGTCTACAATAGAAATATCTTTGTTTTGGTTATTATTACTGCCTTGTAGAACTTTATTCATAACAGACTCATCAGTTGTACAATTTATATTAGAATTTGAAACTAAATTTTGATCAGAAATTTGTTTGAACATGTTTTCTAATTCAGTAGCTATTCTACGTCGTATAGTTCTTTGGGAGACATTGACAGACAGATCTTGTTGGTTGTTTTTGTGTTTTTTAGACATATTTGTGACTCCTAAGTAATTATACAATAATTATATAAAACATGTGTAACTATATAACTATATATATTAATTAATAATTATATATATTAACTGCTTATTGAGTAAATAATACATTAATACGGATTTATTTAAATATATATTTACAAATGTTGTAAATAAATTAAAGTAATATAAACATAAACTTAAAACTGTTATAAGAAAATAACACTATGATTTAAAAGTTTCAAAAATAGTTTAATTAATTAAACTAATAAAATATTAAATTATAGGTAATTGGAAAAGTGTGTAAGTCTTTAAACATTATCAATATATAGTAGGTAGGCATAATAAGCATAATATAAGATAAAATATAAAATATACCTAGAGAATAAAATGCAAATGTAGGTTAATTTTAATAATAATTTTCCAAGTTAAAATCATGTTTACCGGTACATAAGTATTTATAACTGTATCTTCTAAAAAATATTTAACATGTTCTGCTATTAAAATAAAACAGCAGTCTGCTATTAATACATTTTCTAATGATAAATTATTTAATTGTTAGTTAAGTAGGTATATTGAAATAGTTTTGTCTTTTTTATTTTCACTTAATTATTATATTATGTAAAATTAATTAATTATGTTAATTGCTTATTGTAAATGTATAGTTTTTGTTTATTGTTATTGCTATATATATATTCATAATAATTGGAATTTTAAAGAAGTACCATCATTATTGTTATCATTATATGTAATTTGTAAATGAATTTGGACACATGTTCGTTAATAAATTAAAATAAAAAATAAAATCACTAAAGCTAATGTTTAATAAGATGGGATTGGGAAAAATACATGGGTAGGTAGGTAGGTAAATACCATTTTGTCAAATGACAAAATATTTAGATATTATTAAAAAAAAAATAATAATAGTTGAATTACCTACCACTAAACTATAATATTTGTGTATAAAGTTAAATGCGTAGGGCACAATACTATTCGACATCTCGTAGATATTATAAGAATAAAAACAATAGAACTTGCACTTAAGATAACCTTAAAACATTAAGCCGCATCCAGACCAAAGAAACATTAACTGTCGGAATCACATCATGTTTTCGACATTATAATGTACCTAACCCTAACCTAACCCTATCGTCGACTATATTTCCGATTTCCACTTATAAAACATAAATATTTGTAGACGATAATGTCGGAAATAAATGTTGCTGACAACTGACAAGTGTTTATTGATGCGGACACGACTTTAAATGTATCATACTTTTTTAAAGGTAGGTACTTACAGTAAGATGCGGCGATGAACAAATAATTATTATAGGTACGACTTGCTAAAGTAATCACTATACCGTTTCAATATTCTCTTTTCTATCACACAATTTCAGACTTCTGTTCAGTTATAAAGTATTAGAAGTATATTTTAGAACCACGTGTTTTATACTATAATAAGTAATAATGGCATAAAAATTATACACTACGGGACAGTACAAGAGCGTCTCGAGTCGAGAGCATAGAAAAAACAACAGAAGACAAAGGAACGACGCCTAAAACCACGATTTAAGATAGTATGGTTGCCCGACGACCTATGATAAGATCGTTTTAAACTGGAAACCAAATTAAATAACCAGAACAGCTGGAAAATTGACCACTAGCGCTTGCGACATGATGTGTGCCAATATAGAAGCAGAATTTACGAGCTTATTATTTTTTCCCGCGCTTTACTAATATCAAATATGTACCTATTACCACAGTAATACAGAATAAATCTATTATGTGATATTA